TTAAGTGATGCAAATGAAAACAACTGATGCGATTTTAATAATAAATATTTGTATCTGATTTTGAGTGAAATACGGTTAAAGTTTTTCAAGCTAACTTTGAGTTTTAGGAGATTTAATTACATGATAAAATAAGATTTAATGGTGCTCTACTAATTTTATTCACTGAAAGTGAGTGTCTATAAATTACTATTTATATATTGATAACATTGATCACACATAAAGGTTGAAGTATATAAAAATGCCAATCCAAAATTTAGTAAGGTAGGGTTAATTCATTGAGCAGACAATTTAAAAATAAAATAGCTAGAAACTGAATATTAACATATCGATAAATTTTGCTGTTATTGAATTATCAAAATGCGATTACTATTTACAAAAAAAAATAAGTGCTCTTTTTAGTCTTTTAAATCTAATCAATAATTGAAATAATATTTTTAGAATAAATTCTATTATAATATACTAAATTTTAAGAGAAAAAAGAGGAGCTTCATTACGAGATAAAGAATTTTAATAATTACTTTGATTTTTCTATGAATATTAGAATACATATTTTTCTTGATTTATAATAACCCTTTATAAATTTACAGCATTATCTGATACGAATTAATATAAGAAGCCTGAAACTCTTTACATTCATTTTATCTCATATAATATTCATCATAGCCAAAATTACAATCGTTTATAGAAATAATATGTTTTACACTTATCATCATATTTATGTTTTTTCTAATATACAACTATTCACTATTAATAATTTGCTATTGGTTAAAGATTCCACTACCACAGTTAAATAAAGGAGAATGAATCTGGAATGATATAGATATGTATTTTATAGATTTTTGGATAATAAATTCGAGTATTGATAATTTATATTTAAATAATGTTAACTAACAATTAATATGCCTAACTTCCATTTCAATCTGTTTTATACCAATAATAGACTTAAAATAATTAAAGACTTTCTACTTAGCAATTTTAATCCTCTATCTAACTAAAGATGATAAACTTCAATGGTATATTAACAACAAGCAGGCTAGAGTCAGATGTATACATAATAAAATCAACATGTCAAAACAATATAATAACACCACACATATATTAAAGATGAATTCAAATAGGCATCATACTCATGAATATAAAATACCTCAATATATAATAATAAATAGTTGTTGCTCCATAATAACCTATTATTACTGTTCCACAGTAAACTATTGTTGCTGCTGCTGTTCCTCCTTAATAGCCAGAAATTAATGAGATGTATCATTTAGAAAGAGAATTGCAAGTGCTTTCTGTTGAAGATGTAGAAGAACCTTGGAAAAAGAAATGTGTTGAATTTGAAATTAAAATATTCGATTTGTAAACAGAATTAGCCAGATATAAAATTTTAGGATAAGAATTGAAGGTTACATCAAATGAAGAATTTTAAGTGAGAGAATTGGAAGCAAAAATCAAAATGATGAAAGACATAGAAGATGGTTAGAGAAAAGAAATAGAAAGTCAATAAAATGAAATTGACTCTCGGAGATAGAGATATTCCAAATTGGCAGAAAAAGAAAGGCAAATCTTGAAATTGGAAAATGCATTAAATTCTGAGAATGTGGAAATGCAAAATTACATGAGATTAATTTAGTAAATTTGTCAATTAATATATTAGGAATAAATTTTAATAGATTACATAATTTGAAATTAGAGCAAGAAATGAGTGAATATCAATAGATTACAAAAAAAATGAAATATTATTCAAATGAAGCAGATATTTGGAAAGAAAGATTCATGAAAGCAAATTAAGATTTTCGCTCTGCTTAAGAATAGTGGATGATGGCATAAGCTAAATTAGATTCTTTGAAAAAATAAAAACCATTACTACAACTGTATAATAATCTAATACAAGATCTAGAAAGACTGGTGGCCGATAATATTGAATTATTATATCATTATTTATTTTCGAACTGTTTTCTTACTCTTTCATGCCAACATTACCTTTCATCCAATTCGCATTGTTTCTCATTACCAAATCTAGCATAAAATTTCAACATGTAGTCTTCTAAACAATCATTTTCACAACCAAATGCATAAGCTGTCACCAACACTTCAATTGCTATTTATCGTATATCACAAAATACACTCATTATACAAATAATAGATTTGGCCTAAATATTTTGATATATATATTAAATAATTAATCAAATAAATAGATTTTTTTTAATTTATGATTTATGCAATACTTATTAATAATAATCATTAAAATAATGGATTGATTACAATTTATGATTATCCTCTGCAATTTTATATCAATTTTTATAATAAATCTTTGCAGGCCTAAATTAGTTCTATCATGATACCTTTAGATGGTATGATTACTTGAAACCATCCCAATAAAATTTTTTTCTATTCATTAAAAAATTCATTACACTCTTAGATGTATAAGAATGAACTAAAAATAAAAGTCAATACTGATATTTCGACCACCATTTAAACAATATAATTTCTTTAATTAAAAATAAAACGATAATAAAATATTAATCTAATCTAAAGTATGCTTGTCATACGGAGTAATCCTAATTAAAGAATTTCGGAACTTTAAAGATAAATCAAAAATAATAAAAAGAAAAATTACCTACCAAAATTTAGTATTTGAAAACTTTAGTAGCTGTTCTTCAATGATTACTTTTATTTACTTTTGAAAAAATCTAGGAATATGGTAAAATAAAGGATAAGAATTACGCTTGCAATAATAATTTGTACAAAATCTAAGTAATTTTTTGTTTTAATGTTTCGTGTATACAATAATGTTTTAAATATCATATCACAACCATTGAAAAATAATTCGTTTTATAATCCTTAAAAAGTCATAAATCTTTTCAACTTAAGTAATTCTAAACAAATGTTAGAAAAGGATTAACTAAACTTAAAAATTACTTTTGGATTAATATATAATGACAATGATGTCATATTGTTAAAGTACCTTAAACAAAATATCCAATTGTACAAAGCCATTTTAAGCCATTGAGACAACAAAATAAAGAATAAAAATATTATGAATTACAATATTTGACTTGAAAAATTGATGATCAAATTAGTGTTTTAATTATATGCGTTGAATTTTCCTTCACAATATTCATAATTTTACTAAATATTAAAAAACTAAAAAATTTGAGGAAAATAGATAAAATCCAGGAGAGGTTAAATAGTTATCATAAACAGAAAAATAAATCTCCATATTTTATGGGTATTACAGATTTATGTATTTTAAGTATTGCTAGAATTAAGAAATTGCCATAATTTAAAAAAATAAATCAACACTTCCAAATAGTAGATTTATTCCAGTAATTCCAGACAAACTAAAAATCATATATTTATTAAGGTTTTTCAAATTTTAAGAATAATCCATTTGTTTTTCATCAAGAAATTTTGTATATTGCAAAGTGATCGATTTTTCAAAAACATCTAAGATAACATCATCTATATTATGATTAAATTAAATTTAATTCTTTTTTAACAAGGAAACATAAATAGAATTATTGTAAAAATTTCTATCTATTAATAGAAACAGTCTAATTTACTATAATTTTTAAGACTGGCCTAAATTCAAGTAATTATTATATTTCTATTTAGATGATAAATTCTCCAAAACTTACATTTGATCCAACATCCTTGATAATATATAAGTTGCTATTCCAGTTCTTCTTTTCTATATTTGATATTTCAAAATTATAGTTTCTGATAAGGGTTAACCTCGTAAATTTTTACTTTTTAATTAAATTATATGCTTATTTACTTTTTATTTTAAGTCATATTGAGATAGTTAATTACTAAAATTGGAGCTTGGACAAATGAGCATTAGCTTTATGTATCTCTTGTGATTGTAATGCATATCCAATTTTGTTGAATTAAACAATCCTTGCATCCATCCTCTGCTAAATAATTTCCATCATCGCAATCCTCTGATTCCTAAAGCAATCCATCTCCACAATTTAATTAATATTTGCATTAATTAGAAATTAGTAATTAGTATTGGTAATTGCACTCTAAACAAGTACCTTAATAGCAATCAAAGCAATTTTCTGGACAAGAATACTTGCAATTAAAACAACCATCATAANTTAAGTAATTCTAAACAAATGTTAGAAAAGGATTAACTAAACTTAAAAATTACTTTTGGATTAATATATAATGACAATGATGTCATATTGTTAAAGTACCTTAAACAAAATATCCAATTGTACAAAGCCATTTTAAGCCATTGAGACAACAAAATAAAGAATAAAAATATTATGAATTACAATATTTGACTTGAAAAATTGATGATCAAATTAGTGTTTTAATTATATGCGTTGAATTTTCCTTCACAATATTCATAATTTTACTAAATATTAAAAAACTAAAAAATTTGAGGAAAATAGATAAAATCCAGGAGAGGTTAAATAGTTATCATAAACAGAAAAATAAATCTCCATATTTTATGGGTATTACAGATTTATGTATTTTAAGTATTGCTAGAATTAAGAAATTGCCATAATTTAAAAAAATAAATCAACACTTCCAAATAGTAGATTTATTCCAGTAATTCCAGACAAACTAAAAATCATATATTTATTAAGGTTTTTCAAATTTTAAGAATAATCCATTTGTTTTTCATCAAGAAATTTTGTATATTGCAAAGTGATCGATTTTTCAAAAACATCTAAGATAACATCATCTATATTATGATTAAATTAAATTTAATTCTTTTTTAACAAGGAAACATAAATAGAATTATTGTAAAAATTTCTATCTATTAATAGAAACAGTCTAATTTACTATAATTTTTAAGACTGGCCTAAATTCAAGTAATTATTATATTTCTATTTAGATGATAAATTCTCCAAAACTTACATTTGATCCAACATCCTTGATAATATATAAGTTGCTATTCCAGTTCTTCTTTTCTATATTTGATATTTCAAAATTATAGTTTCTGATAAGGGTTAACCTCGTAAATTTTTACTTTTTAATTAAATTATATGCTTATTTACTTTTTATTTTAAGTCATATTGAGATAGTTAATTACTAAAATTGGAGCTTGGACAAATGAGCATTAGCTTTATGTATCTCTTGTGATTGTAATGCATATCCAATTTTGTTGAATTAAACAATCCTTGCATCCATCCTCTGCTAAATAATTTCCATCATCGCAATCCTCTGATTCCTAAAGCAATCCATCTCCACAATTTAATTAATATTTGCATTAATTAGAAATTAGTAATTAGTATTGGTAATTGCACTCTAAACAAGTACCTTAATAGCAATCAAAGCAATTTTCTGGACAAGAATACTTGCAATTAAAACAACCATCATAAAGTCGCAAATTACCATCATCGCAATCCTCTTCTTTTGTGATTATTTGATCACCACAAACAGAAAGACAACTATTATTAATAAATTCATATCCATCTTGACATTTTAATATACATTATCCTTTTTCACATATGTTGCAATCTTCAATGCATTTAAATTTACATTGAAAACAACCATCATAAGGTTGCTCATTACCATCATCACAATCCTCATACTCTTCAAGAATTAATTTATCTCCGCAAAAGGGAAACATATGTTTTCTAATATTTAAAATCCTGCTTCACACTCTAAGCAAATTGAAAAGTAGTTGGTTTTACGATTTGGAATTGATATAAATCTGCATTCTGAACAATTATCCTATATCCCATTAACTGTCACTTCACATTATTCAGTTGAATAAGGAATTAAATTACCATCTGCGCATAAAGGATCACAATTAAATTTAGCATTAATAATAAATCCATCTTAACATTATAAACAAATTCCAAATTAACAAATTGAACAAAATTGTATACATGAATATTTGCATAAATAACAAGAATCATTTGATATTAGATTACCATCATCGCATTCTTCTTAACCTTGAATGATTCCATCTCCACAAATAGGATGGCAATTTTCTGGGAATTCGTCTTAAATCCAACCTTCTTAACAAATTAAACATTTATCATCAAATTACACTAAGCATCCTTCATTCAAATTATTAAAAATTATTTCTGGTTGAGTGTAGAATAATTCAAAATCTCTTATATAACTATCTCTTGTGTCTATTTAGGTTTTAATATTTAATAATAATATAGGATCATCATGATTTCTTATTAATATCTCTATTTATTAGAGAACAAAACATCATTTCCAGAATTATTAATTTATTAATTATAATTATAAGAACTAATTGTTTATTTACCATATAAATAGTCTACTATTATTATAGTATTAGTATATACTTTAAAAAATCGTATTAATAAATCTTAATGAGGGGGTAATTGAGTAGAATAATTAATTTCTTTGAATTACAACAATTAGCAATTTCCACAAGAGAAATAATTTGGATAATAATGATATGATACGAAAGTCCATCCATTAGAGTTTGTGATTATATTCTAATTAAATGAATATTAATGCAGTCTCCATTATAAGTAGATTTTAGGATAATTCTCTATGCATCCATCGTATTCATACTAACATTTAATGATACTTAATCTCAATGATATTAATCCTCCTCCATATTCGTTCAAAATAGTTGTCCAAACATTTCTTCTATTATGTGAATAAGTTATAGAAAAAGTTTTTAAATATTCTGGTTGTGAATTACCACAATCTTAAGATGAAATCACTAAATAATAGCTGATTGATTATTCATCTATATAAAATGTAGGTGAAATTTAGTTACCAATACTTTTGTAATGAAGAATATAATTACATTTGAAATTTCGCTTCCACTATAATATGAGAATGAGGTTCTAGATCTAAAAATATTCTGCTAATGGCAATCCAATTATTAGTAGATATCCCAAAATATTTACTCCCTCCACAAGTATAGAAATTAACATTATTAAGATAATCTTGCCATCCTAAAATATAAAATAAGTAATTACCATCTATCATGTTATAATTAGCATGAAACTAATAAATTAAAGCTTGATGAGTTGTATATACTAAAACAATGAGTAGTATCATTACAATTTAATATAAATAATGCAATTATGTATTTAATAAAAATTCAAATATTTTTCAGATTAAGATATGAGTATCAAATTTTATTATTTAATCAGATAAAAGGATCAATAAAATTGATAATTAATTATTCTCATTATTCTTTACTATTGATATATATAAATATACACTTTATAATAACATTAATTTAAAATATATTTATATGATAAAAAAGAGATAAATCAACATATTATTCGTAATTTCTTTGAATAAATTCAGCTAACTAAGATAATCAGCAATTTTGAATCTCTATATATTATATATTTTATAAATTCTTGAATTTTACAAAATAAAAGAGGAATAGGGGGCTTCAGTTTAGTTATCTAATCGTTTACACTAGTTTATTACTTATTTATCAGATCATAATATATGAATTACGACTTTATTCTAAATAAAACTTTAAAATCCTATTATATTATTAAATAATAATACGCTTAGTTCCATTGCTAAGAAAAATTTGTAGATTTCTTGATAAAAGTTCGAATTATAACTCAAAAAATGTCAGCAATTTTCATTTAAATTTTTGACAACATCTAATTATGTCTAATTCTCTATTTGAAAGTATTTTTTACCTTCAATCAATTTTTGTAGTATAAAGGGATAGATCAAATACAAATTCAAAGAAGCACTTTATTTTACCTCCCTATGATTAAATCTAACTGGATGATGGAGGTCAATTTTTTTCCCCTCATGAACTAACTCAACTCATAAGCGGACGACCATAAATATGAAATGCCCTGATTGTAATAATTAACTAAATTCCAAGATTCATTTCCATACATTAATTTTTCTCTAAATTTGAGATTAATATAAATAAATATATCCAAAATAAATAATTATAAATAGGTCTTAATTTTTTATAAATCTTGAAAATCAATCATATATGATCATAGATTGAATATGAATAATTTTAATTTCTTGTTCTTCCCTCTATTTATTCTTATTTATTAGTACATTTAAATAGTTATCAATGTTATTTATAAAACAAACTGACTTAGAATAATTTTTTAGTTATTAGAGACATTATTAAATATAATTATTTTTTATAAACTTTAAAGATCATAATGTTTCTTATTTTAATCCTTTAGAACTAATGGCATTATAGAAATAAATAATCTCTTTGTATATTCAAAAGTGCTTAATTATAGTGTTATTTTATAAATGACATGTTAATTTTATTTTTACATTTGATCAAATTTTCTTATTAAAAAAAAGTATTTCTTCAACTCAAGAAAGGATTCTTAAAAAAATTTAAACTTAAACAATTTTCAATATCATATACAAGGAATAATTTTTCTTTTAGTACTAGACTGAGATGGATCTTTTTTATCCTTTAGTATTTCTTAATTAATCTTCAATGAAACCTATTAATTTTTCTTATAAAATAGTGGATCAGAAATTTAAACTTACTATCACAAAAACTTTAAAATCAAATGAGTTTTATTGAACTTCATCCATTTATTCATTTCAGAAGAATTTTGGAAATTATCTTTACTTCCTTAATTTTCTAAGTTTACCTTTGAAGATGCATTATAACTGTTTAAGGTTTTATAAAATTATATTTCAATTATATGAAATAATAAATTTTTCACACTTTAAAATTAAAGAATCTTGAACAATATAATGAATGAAAAAAATGTGATTTATTTTATTGTTATCAAATTATAATACACAATTTAAGGGATTCCAAAAATGAAAAATGAGAACAAAATCATCAATCCTCTTTATATCTCAAAATATATAAGTAATGATTTCTTCCTCTACTCAAAAAGGGCAAGATAATTCAAATATTAAAAAAAGTCTATTTCTTTAAGAGATATTTTGGAGCATCAAGATAAAGACAGAGATTTATTCAATAATATGAACAATAACAAAAAGATAAGAGGAATCAAGAACGTAAACAAAGATCTCTATTAAAAGAATAAGAGAATATTTTTCATAGATTCCACTTTCAAACTAAGCAATATGATGATCAAATATTATCTAAATCATTGGAAATTTTTAGCACATTAATTATTATATAGAAATATTGTACCCAAAAATATAGTTAATGCTTTAAACGCTGCTAAATCTAAATCTTAAGTGTAGTTTATATTAGATTCAACTGGAACCAAATATACTATAAATTCTTAAGCTCCTTCAGTTTTTTCCAGAGGATGATTTCGCAAAATTAACAAAAAAAAATTGCTTGATATCTAATTCATTTGCTAAAGGAGAAGTGTTGTAGAATTGAATCAGGAATTTGATTTAATGTTTGCTAATTGGGCCTTTGAGCATCGGTCACAGGTGAAGGTATGGATGAAGGAAAATTATAAGGAGCAAAAGATGATCTAGCTAACTATGCCTTAGAATTACAAGAGAATGAGGACTAAAAATACACAGAATTTGATTTTATTATCAACTTTTGTTTTTATTAAAAATAATTGAATGGTGTAATAATTTGCAACCATAGGATTGGAAAAATTCTAATATATAAATTATTAAAAATATTATTAATTAAGAAACTTAAATATCATAATTTGATTTGACTGGTTATAGATTCATTTCCTATTAATATTCTACATCTATATATTATATTGTATATCAGTTTATCATAAATATAACTTATGAAAAAAAAGGCTAAGGTTCTCTAATATTTAACCTGAATCAAATGCCTGTTAATTAATTCGCACAAATTGCATTTTGCATTTCGACAAATTTTTGTATTAAACTACATTTAAAAGTGGTAAGTCTGTAATTTTAATTTAACTCATTAAATATTTTAGAGAAAAAAATTCAACAAGATATAATAATAATTAAGTTTTAAAATATATTTAGATATTAAATTTTTGTAATAATAATTTGAAAATATCATCATTGTTAAGAATAATCTTTGAAATTTATTTAAAAACCTTATAAATGGTTAAACGCATATATTTTTTATTCCTGAATCTTCTTTTTTTGTTTCTTTTATTAATAATTTTCATATATTTTCAGAATTTATTGAAGCAAGTCGATAAATAAATTAGAAGCTAAAATTGCACAAAATAGACCAATATGAATCTAACCAATAATTATTTTATTTTCTTAACTTAAATCAAAACTATAGCATAAAAATGTCCCTGTTATAATCAGAAACAAAAATTCTCTGGAAATTAATTTTGAAAGTTCAAATATAGATTTTAAAGGTTTAAATTTGATTAAGTAAATCAAAAACCTGAATGATTGCATTGAAAGTAATATAGATTATGCTTCAGGATAGTTGATTGATTTTACAATAATAAAGATATAAAACAAGATTCTGTAAATTTAAAACGGCTTAAATTAGACAGCCCAAAATTAAGTCTTAGATTCAAAATAAAAATACTTCCACTTACTTTCGTTTTTTATTTAAGATGAAGTAATTGAAAGCAATAGAAAAGTAGCTAAAACTATGAACAACTATCCAATAATTGCATTAATACTATTGAAAATTTCAAATGAAGAATCAAAATTGTAATTTAGAAATTATAATATTGCACTAAACATAAACTAATGTAAGATTGCTTAGTAAAGCTTAAAAATCCCTAGGGAGAAGTATTCAATTTTATAAATTAAACACTTTTTTTGAATCTTTTTTTAAAATAAAGAAATGAGTTTTGAAATTTTCAAATTTTTTCTATATTTATTATTCAGCTTGGTAAAGATACTTTATAGTTATTTTGATACTATAATACAATAAAAAAAGTAACTTAATAAAGATGAAATCACAGAAAAATAACAACTTTTAGCATTAAATAAGTAAAGCTAATTTAAAATATAATCTGAATCTTGATTCAAATTATTATTGGCTTAATTTTTAAGACTTCCTCCATTCAACTTAATCAATAATTAATCTACCTTAAAATAATTTAAAATCGGTTGTAATGATACTTTTGTATAAGTGATCAAAAATTCCTATAAATGGGGGGGAAATTAATATTTCATAAATCGAACATAAGATAATGACTGTAATAGATCTAGTAAATTAAAAAACATAATTGCATTTCCTGTGAGCATTGCCAAACTTGATATGCTAGCCATAGAATACATCATTGCATCATTTAGTTTAACAAAATAATTCAATTATTTTTTAGTAGTTTCTGTTAACACAAACGGAGCTCCCAGTTTTATTTGAAGTTAATTTTTCAATAAGCCTAAATCAAAAGAATTATATATTGTATCTTTCCTTACATTAACTTTCAGGACAGGGTCTTAAAGAGGATCATTAAATTCTATTTGAATCTAATATTTAGGGTTGTATAAGTTAATAGTTATATTTTGTATATTGTTGATCGTTAATTTATATTTAGTTTAAGAAGTTAGAGTAAATTCAATTATTTCTTCAAATTATAATTCTTCCTATAATTTAACTTATTGAGTGAAAGTTCATTCTACAGTTTGAGTTGAGTTGGTTTTACCAGAAAGAATGTTTAAATAAAATTCTGGAGCTTGGATATATGTGCATAAACTTTATGAGCCTTACTCAATATCACATTGATATGAATCTTCAATATTACAAAAAGAAGAGCATCCATCTCCTCCATAAAAATTACCATCGTCGCATGCTTCATATTAATTATTAAATAGTCCATTTCCACATTAATTGACGCATTTATAGTCAATAAGTAATTGATTTTCTCCACATCTAAAATTGGCTAATTAATTACACTATAAACAACTCAAATCAATATCTTATTCGTCATCATTGATATGTATTAATATACATTTTGATGTTTAAGTATCCAATAAATACAAATTATCACATTTAAGACACTTATCTTATTGGCATTCGACACAACCATCTGAACATTAAAATTTACATTAATAGCAACCATCATTAGCTTAATCATTTCCATCATCGCATTCTTCTTACCCATCAACAATAAATCCATCTCCACAAATAGAATGACAACGATGATTAATTAACTGCCAACCTAATAGTTCACAAGCTTAACATAATCCTGATTAGCAATCTGTACATTCAGATTAACAATCAAATTAACATTCAAAGCATCCATCAAATGGAATTAAATTTCCATCATCACACTTTTCATTTCCTACTACAATGCCATCTCCACAAATAGAAATGCATCAATTTTCATATAATTGCCAACCTTTAATTTAACATTCTAAGCAAACTCTATCCAAACATTTTGTGCATCCTAGTTCACATATAGATTAACATTAAAAGCATCCATCTTAATCAAGTTCATTTCCATGATCACATTACTCATTTCCAACAATTATATTATCTCCACAATTAGACTTACATTCTCTAGAGACTAAGTCGATCTCCCATCCCAATCCTTTACATGAATAACACTATCCAGATATACAACTTAAACATTCCTTCTGACATTAAATTTAACAGTTTTAACATCTAGATTAAAATATCATGTTTCCTTCATCGCATGATTCATTAGAAGCAACTATTCCATCGCCACAAATACTGAAACAAGATTTATCTAATAAGTTTATATAATATCCAAATTAACACTCATAACAAATACCCATTTGGCAATTAATACAATTTTAGTCACAAGAGAATTAACATTGAAAGCACCCATCATAAGGTATCTCATTGCCATCATCACATTATTCATTTTCGACAAGTTTAAAATCTCCACATATTGGTGAGCATCTCTAAACTTATTCTGCATATTGCCACCCTTCTTAACAATGTAAGCATGCACCTCTAACACAAAAAGCACAACCTTCAATAAATTCAGAAATGTCTAATAAACACCCTTCGATAGGTAATCCTAGTTAATGTATGTCAATATATTTTTCTGGAGCTGTTAGAAATAATTAAAAATCAGTTATCCCTATAGTAGGATAATCTCCTGTCATATCAAATTATGGCATTATAACATCAACACGTATTTTGATTTATGAATTTGTGTGCACTATATTATTTATTATTACATTAAGAATTTATATATGATTACAAAATGGCCTTGTCCAAATTATCCTATTTGATAATTACTATGTTGTAGTTACAAATTGATTATCAATCTTAACAGTAAGAGAAGGACTATCAGCATTAGTTATTAAGAATCTCATCCTTGAACTAATTTAAATATGAGGATCTAAATTAATTGATATTTCCATATAATTTCCATATGTCCATTAATATTGATATTCTAATTAGAAACATATTATACCAATGCATTAAATTAAAGTAGTAAACATTTCCATAGTTATCCATTATAAAGTTATAGGAACTAGTATTAAATTGAAGCATTATGTCGAACTACATGAATTACATCCAGAAGCACATTCATCAATGGCTAATTCAAAGTCTGAAATTCCCCAACGAGATCCTTAACCTTTTAAAATAATCTATAAAGTTGGATTTTAATGTTGAATAGTTAAAGTGATATCAATAACTGAATCACTATAGAGTGAATCTTGGCAAATGTTTATTGGAGTATCAAAGTGAGAAAAAATATTTTAATATGTAATTACTTCATCAGTATAAACTTCAAAGAGCAAATTGTTCCAAACATCAATTCTATTTATTAATCAATTAATATTGTGATTTATTAAAATATTACTTTCCTCTAATTTATTACCTCCAAAATTTGAAAGAAATCGTGATTTAATAATGAGGTTCAAGTTGAAATGTCTTAGAAATAAGGGAATTATCAATTTTTGAAAAATTGTCCAAAAATAGAATATTTGAATAGCCACATATATTTACTAAATATAAAGAGAAGTCATTATTACTCACAAACCAATCTATAAATTACTAACAATAATACTAACATCTGAATATGTGAAGGCACCTGATAATTTCGAATAAACTATTGTTCTACTTGTTATTTCGAGCAGTATAGTAAATAAGATAATAGCATTGATTAAAATTATATTGCTTCTCTACTAAAAGCGAACAAAAGTTGTCATTAATTGTAAAATTAATAAATTTAATACAATATTTAATAGAATTACAACAATTTTATAAGTGAAATTTATAAGTACTTGCAAGTTTTGATCTTACAAGCACATATCTAATCATGTATAAAGATATAGTAAATCGAAGTTTCGTGATATTCTCAATTCGTAATTTAAATTCATGAAAAGAAGAGATATTAATCAGAATCAAAATGAAGACATAAAATGATTTAAATATTTTAACAAACTTAAAGTAAGATCATGTTATTTTGATAATCAATTCAACAAAAAAGTAGGTAATAAGATCTATGAGTATTTGATAATCATAAAATTAAATTATATTAAGAATTCAAATAAAATCAATATTCTAAATAGTTTTTGCGTTCCTCAGCTCGGCCACTTAAAATCTTTTAAAATTTTTTTGTTATTTCACTAAACTTTATCATCTCAATATCCTAAAAATATTAAATAAAATTGAAAAGCAATAAAAAGTTAATTGAGTTACATTGAGTTTTAGGCTATTCTGAAGCTCATTAAAGAATAAAATAAATTGATTTGTAATTGTAAATTTTCCATTTTATAGAAATTTGAAAATTAAAATTTAATTCAAAAAAAACAAATAATATAATTATTAATTCTCACAATTCTTGAAACAAAATAGACAATTTTTATGAGATTTTATTTATAAGAAAAATAATCTAGTTCGATTTGTATTCACTTTCAAATGACGATCTATTTTTATCATTATTGAAAGTCAATGGTATCTTAATATTTTGAAAAATTTTGATCAAAAAATTAGTAACTGACAAACTTCGTTAATAGTTATAAAGGTTGCTATTGAAAATTTAAATTCGAAGAAAATACCTTTATTGAAAAATTATCCTTGAAGATGAAGAAAATAAAAATTTGATACATCTCAAACTCAAATAAGATTTTTAATTATTATCAATAAAAATATGAGTTTTCATTTAAAAATGCATCTATATGTAATTTTTTTAGCTTAATTTTTTTTTTAATTCAAATAGATAAGTCTTTTTGGAACTAGAGTACCTTATTTATAAAGCCAAATAAATAGAAAAGATAAGTGAATAATTTACAAATTACTAAATTAACTCAATTTAAGTTGAAACTCTAAAAGATTCTTTATTATCATAGTGATATAAGATTGATGAGAATGTTAATTAGGTATTAACATTATAACCTTCTTCATGATCTATACGACATTAGCTCCTTCCTCATCTCATTTGATTTTCCTGTTTTCAATAATGGTTTTTTAAGTAATTTCTATTTTGACTCTGAATCAAAAAATTATTTGAAAGAAAGATTGCTTTTAGAGTTATAATTTTTTGAAAGTAGATAACACATTAATTCAAGATATTGTTAGGTATATCAAATACCAATAATTTGAAGTAAATAGGCTATTAAATCATTTTAGGTATAGCTGATGCGTTTAAAAATTTAACATCATATTATACAACTAGTAATGTTTCAAAAACAATTCCTATAGAACCAGATAAATTTTTTATAACCCCTTATTAAGGTTTTATTTTAACTCCAAGTTATGGTGTAAATATCCATTAATCTCAAGATTTATCAACTTAACCTGGAAATTTAGTTTATAAAATATATGAATACCCAGATGGTAAATTTACTAATAATTATTATGGATCAATTTTCATATTAATCAAATTCAAATTCTTCAAATTCTCTATAGAATATATGAATAATAAAAATTATGATATTAATTAATTGTATAAAAATTACATAATTCTAATAAAATATATAAAATTCTCATATATTTCATTATTCAAACTTGTAAATCTTTTTTTCAATCTTATTTGATTGCTCTAATGGATAATCTAAAATAATAATAAGCTGCTTCTTTTTCATTTCCAATTTTAAATTATCGCACATATGTCTCGCCAATTTCAATTATTATTTATCTTCCCATTACATATCAAATTTTAAAAAAGGTCCAAATTTTGTTCCAAGAACTAGATAAATAATATGTTATTTAAAGATTATTATTTATATTAATTGATTTTCATTATTTTTAATACTGTCTACTTGTAAAAAAGAATAAACCCACTTAAAAAAGGAAAGATCTAATTCATTCTAAATAAATTTCTTATTTTGTTAATCTAGCAATTAAATAAACTAAAATTTGTTATAATTTTAATTATCCTATGTGAAAAAAAAGATTTATTATAATTTTCTTTGATTATATTAATCTATTACAAATTTTTTTAATCAATGAATCCAAATATTCAAAATGAAAGTGTAATTGTTTTCATAGAAGGGAAAATGTATCAAAGAAATTAAATATTCTCTTGTTAGGGTATTCAATCAATTAATTATATTGGAACTTTAAATGGGAATCCAAATGAACAAATAATCATAAAATAATATAATTCAATTACGAACGATGAAACAGAAGTGCTTAGATAAATCAAAAGAGAGTAAAATGAAATACAACCTAGATGCCAACATATAATTAAAATACTTGGAATACAGGATTAGGCATAATCAAAATTATTGGTTATGGAAAAAGGCAATGGCAATATCTTAGAATTAATTGAATCTAATAAAATTCATAGTATAGTTTAGAAAATAAAGATATTTGAATAAGTAAAATTTATCATATTTTAAGATGGTAAAAGGTGTGATAGAATTACATAATTTAGGCTATTTTCATAGAGATCTGAAACCTGAAAACTTTGTCTATTTCGAAAATGAAAATAAAGATTATAAAATCAAATTAATAGATTTTGGTTTAGTAATAAAAGACTTTACAATTCCTGATACATGGGTAGTTGGGACTTTAAATTACATGGCACCTGAAATAATGGTTACAGGTATGGAATATGATAAGACAGCTGATATTTGGAGTCTTGGAATTATATTATATGAACTACTTACATCAAAAATCTTTTTATAAGGTTTTTTAATTTAACTAATTTTTAGCTAAAAATTAAAAAGAATTATAATAATAGATCTAAAATTTATCTTAAGAATAAATATATAATAAACTAAACTAAGTTGATGATATAGAAAAAGAAGATAAGTAACTTCTCAACATGATCTTATAAAAAGATAGCAAAAACAGAATTAAACTGGAAACATTATTATCGAAAATAAATGAGTATTACAATTCAATTAAGCAATAAGAAGAAAAAAAGTTATTAGAAATAGAAGAAATAAGATAATCTGTGATTTATTAATTAGAAACCTTCAAAAGTACTATAATGATATTCATTTAAAATCTAAATTACAAGTTAGAAAAAATGAATGATTTAAATACAGAATATTAAGTAAAGTAATAATTGTAATCTTATATTGATGATTAATTGAAGAAATGTAATGAAAAAATCATTAAAATTGAATAAAGATTATAATAAATATAATCCTCATAGCCAAAAGAGATACTTAAAGAACATTATAGTGAGATAATTCAAGAAAGTCAATAATAGATATAAGATAGTAATCTCATAATGGAAAACATTATAAAATAATCATTTTTACTTGAATATTAAATATTGAAGGAAAAAGAGGAATAATTGAAAATACAACAGGAATAGTTATTGAAAAAGGAACAAGAGGAGGGATTAAAAAAAGAGTAAGCATAATTTAAATCTTTATTTTAAATTGTTAGATAATTGTCTAGTTCATAAATTACTTAGATTAAAAAAATTTCATAAGAAATTAATTTTTATCAAAGAATTTAACAATCAAATTATGGAGAAGAGAAGATTTTACATATGACAACTTAACATTAAACATTAACATAAAATATCTAAGGGTTAAAATAATAGGACAAGATAATTTCGTAATTTGACTCGATAATAGAAAAAATTACTATTTATTAATAATTTAATATATTGCTTGAGGAAATTTATTAGGATTAAAATAGACTCAAAATTTCAATTGAAGAAGCCAATAAATTTATTGAAGAAACAGATAGACAATATTTGGATGAACATTATTAATAAATATATGAATTAAGCGATTAATTAAAAGATTTATTTGATAAATTCAAATATTAATCTCAACATTAAAAATATAAGGATAAAATAAATGAAATAATTTATGATATAACAAAGGATTTTGGTTAGTTAGAATTTCTTGCATAATTAGTAGATTAAAAAACATTGGCAGGATATTAAGAATACAAAACAAAATATATTTAGATTTAGTAATTTTTAAGTAATTACTAAAAATAGCAATAATAATTACATCAATAAATTTACAATGATTAATACTTTGAATAAATAAATGAAGAAAGATTAAAAAAGTTAATAATAACATAAGACAAATTCGATTAATTTAAAAATTAAATGAATCAATTAAAAGATTAGTTAAAAAATTTGATCAATAATTAAAATAACAATAATGAATAAACTAAGAATTTAATAAATAATGAATTAATAAGGTTTGATTAAAAGATATTTGAGTTGTAAAGGTAATTTGATAATTTCAATGAATTGAATATATAAAATTAAAATCCTTGTGAAATAATTAGTATTTAAATAAAATTATTGGAAGAATTTTAGAAAAAATTAAAGGAAGTAATAGATAATGAAATAGAAAAAATAGATTAATTTAAGTTGATTATTGAAAAAAAAGCAGCAGAACAGAAAAGTGAGTAAGAAAAAGAAATTTTATATTTAAATCATTAATTATAAAACAGATATAGAATATTCTAAAAAGTTTTATTATCAATTAATTTTCAATTTGAAAATTTGGAATTTTATTAAAACTTGAGTGCAAAGTATAATTAACTTCTAGAATAATTGCAATAAGAAATAAAGATCTTGTAAGAATATTTAAGCGTGTAACATGAAAATTAGAGGTTATTTGAAGTAAATTTAAAAGATAACTAAACACAAGGAGGGTAAAATAAATAAATAATAGAAAATTTACTCAAGAGATTATAATAAATAAATCTATAAAAAGGTATAAGGCTAGAGAATATATTTCACAGTGTTTCTAAAAAAACAACAGATCTAGATTTTAACTTGGTGGATGAAAATTTAATTAAGAATTATCAATAGTTAAAAAAGCGGGAAGAAGATTTATCAATTATATTCAATACGATAAATCAAAAGATATCTAATAAATAATTAAACCCTGAATAATTATAAGAATTAAAAAAAACAATTCTTGAGTTATGTTCTGAATTAGAGTAATTTATGATATAAATTCCTTTGAATGATGAAATATAAAAGTTCAAAAAAGTTTATTAGTAAAATGTGGAATCATATGAAATATTGTATGCTTTATTTAATTATATAAAATAATATCACCTAACAAGATATTATGAAAGAATTAAAGAAAATGCAAATTAATAAAAAAAAATTTAATAGAATTAAAATTAAAACGATTATAAGACCCTTTTCTAATCTAAATTACATGTAGATTTGGAAGAAAACACAAAAAAAGAAAAGGAATCTTAAGATACATTATAAAGATATGAAAATATTTTATTTAAAAGTTACAATAAGATGACAATAGAAGCAATGGAAAAAGATAAAGAATAAATAGAGAAACAGATTGAATTTATAGAGAATCAAATTAAATAAAAAGACTTAGTAAAATTAAGAGCTAGTATTAAAGATTAATCAGATATAAAAGAGATTATTCATAACAGACAATATTATAAAATAACTGAGTTTTCATAAATGCTAATCATAAATATAATAAGAAAAGAAATTAAATAAAAAAATCAATACTGATATAAATATCAAAATTTGAACACAATATTCTTAATAATTAATCAATGTTATTCTATAAAATAATTATTTTTTATCATTTAATATTAGTTGAATTAGAGAATTATCATTAAAAATAGTTTTTTTCAGTTTTTTAATATTAAAAAAAGTATAAAATGATTATATTTAAAGTTTTATATAAAACTTGTTGTTGTGTAAATATATTTAGATATTTATTTAGTATATAAAAATGAATTTATGTTATTTTCAATATTGAATATTTTTCCTAAAATGCCAAATTTTCACTTTATACCAGTATAACATTTATTATGATTACCAAATATTCTAAAGATTTATAAAATTATCCTATTCACTAATTTAATAAATGAATATTTATTTTTTTATGTAACCTTTATTTAAGTTTAGAGTACATATATATTGAAGTGAAATCTCTGCTTAGATAAAGGTTAACTTTTTATCATTGATTATAATGAGATTATACTGTTTTTTCAAAGATTTTAATTAGTATTTAATCTTATTAATTAAAATTTCTTTAATAGTAATAGGAAATAAAATAATATATAAAATATGTGATTTGCCTCTCCATTATATTAATGCTTATTAAAGGATAATAATTTAAATGAAAGGATGTAAGTAAATGAGGGAGTTCTCTTCATTCATTTATGCCAAAATGTTTAATGAGATCTAATACTATGATCTAAATTCCATCTCATATAAGTATGGCATCAATAAGAATATGATCTAGATGAGTAAGGTATCTGAATCATCATTTCAATTTGCCAAAAGAAGTTAAGATATTAAGGCAAGAGAAGTTGCAAGAGAAGCTTTGACTGAAAATTCTAAAGAAATAAGGTTCATTATTTAGTACTCTAAAAGCCTATTGGATTCTCAGCTCCAGTGTATGTGATTAGGATTTTGGTGGTACAGTTTGAAACTGGAATTAGTAAACCAGAAAATTTATTGAAATAAAGTTGATTTTATGAATGTGTTGAATAATATAGAGTTGATTTTGAGTTCTTTTTGGAGAATGTCTCATTTTTTTGATTATTATTTAATTAAAAATTTTAATCTGAGAAAGTGAACGATTTTAAGGCCATTTAATGATTTTGTCAGGAAGCAAAAAGAAATGATTTAATCATTTGAAGGACCAGGTAGTGTATTTATAATAATCCTCTCATGAATTCTATGGAAATTTCAAATTGGTTAGTATCTTATGATTATGAATGAGTAACACATATACGTTTATGTCTAATTCTAATATTATACAAAATCTAAGTTTAAATAAATTGAAAATGCTAAAAATGAAATGACATCAGCTCTTTAATAATATTTAGCTTCGACAATCAAATAAAATAGTGTAGTTATCTTGTATATCGTCTTGATATCTCCAGATCCAACCTACATGGTCTTTCATCCTGAATTATCTTTAACTTCTCCAAAACTACTTAAGGTCTGATAGATACCTCATTCTATTATATTCTTGGATTTATAAGCTTGTTAACAATAAAATCTTGCAATCCTAGGTAAAATATGCAGAAGATCGAAAATTTATCTGTCCAGAAGGAACTTATTTCATTAATATTTGAAATGATTGCATCAATAAGTCCATAAAAATTATCAAATACAGAGTTTAATAAATATCCTCTCTTTTATATTACATTTAGGTTTTTCTTTTTTTTATGCTCTAAATGTTATTCATGGACATTTGATCACTATTGAGTATATTATATTTAGGTAAATAAGTAATATTAACAAAGGGGGTTTAGATTCAACTATAAGATCTTCAAATAGACAAAGTCTCTGTAAGGCTATAAATGTGCAAGAAATGTCTCTGTTACCGAACATTGTGTAGCCACAGAGGTTCTAACACTTAATCGCAATAGTATGACCTTTTTGAAAAGTCGAGTCATACTATTATGTTCGATTATGCTCTAGAAAGTTCCCAAATAAATATTCTCCATTAAAAAATTTTTACTGGGGTTCCTAAAATTTTTAATACAATTTATGTTAGAATATAGTAAAATTTTACAGGTTCACATAATTAAACAAGATCCTATTGAGTCTCAGGTAAGCAACTTGATTAATTTTTCGGATCCACGAACAGCTTGGACTCGCTTCTATAACTACCTTTGTTAAAGAATACTACTCTAAGGGCAAGTTCCATCTCAGCTTCTCTCTTCTTTTTCTTAAAATTCTTTCATTCTGGTATCAAACTTACAGAATGATAAACAAAGCACCTACTTATTGCTGTACTTAGACATCTGCCTACATTTGGAGGACTCACTTTTAGGAGACATCAAAGCCTCAATACTTGATTACTGCAATAAGTTCCTTCTTCAGGATAACAGCCTCCCGGAGCGAAGTACTTTGGTAAATGCAAGCGAGAGCTCTGAGGAACAAGAAAATCTGAGACCCTAAAGAGGAAGCTTAAACTCCCTGGTTGGCTTGGCAGAGGGAGAGGAATAATGAATACAATAATTTTTTACTGTACTAAATATTTATACAGCTTAAAAATTTTGAGAGATTTATTAAATTCAATTAATATATTTTTTCAAGAATTTAATTCCTTGTAAATAGATTGTTTTATGTATTATTTCCAAAATGAAAATACTTTATCTTATTCACTTTTATAACAAGAATAATCATAAATTTGATTTTTTTTTCATCCTCAAGAATTATAATAATTAGAAAAGAAAATACTATAAAAAAATATTCTATTATATTATAGAACTCCTAAATTTCTATCAACTTAAGATTTATATGAAGATGCTTAAAATGAATCTAATATAACTAATAAACACCGATGAAAATATTTCAAAATGAATATGAAAATTCAAATTAGGTATATTTAAGCATAATGAAAATTATTATGAATAGATTTGAGTTTCTTAAAAGTTTTAAGAAAAAAATTTAGATATATTTGAATATTTACATTATCAAATAAGAATTTCATTAGAAATTGAAATTGAATTTTAAATGAAAAGAATATTAAATGGCTAAACTGTAAAAAAATAGAATTATCTGCCTTAATTTCTATTTACAATAAATAATCTGTAAATTAGAAGATAGAGTTAATGAATTCATAAGTAAGAGCCCATTGTTCTTTGATTTTTGATAAATAAATAATTACATCAAAAAAAACAAAAATAATAGAAATTAAACATCATCTTATAATATATTAGATATTTAATATTAAATTAGAAAAGATATTAATAAGGTTATAATTGAGGTTATTTTATTGTGTAACTTGACATTAATTTGAATAAGCTATGCAAAAATAAAAGGTTATTACTTTGTTCCAGATTTATGGTCATCAGCAGAATCTTAAATTTATTTAGAGCTTGGACAAATTATGATTGTAACTCTAACTTAATTATTGATATTTACAGTTTCATTTCTTTATTCAAATTTTTGAGAAATGGCATTAATTTCATATACCGGTAAACTTTGTCTTTTCTAACCATTTCAAATAAGGACTTTTCCAATCATTACAATTATCAAAAATATTCCTATTACGATTTAGACTGATCTCTCTAAGACAGGACATGATAATTCTGATGGATTAATATTTTCTATCCATCTCAATCATGTGATAAATTGATATTTTATAATAAAAATTTGATGAATTTTCTAATTAGATTCTCAATAATATTTTAATTTATAAAAATTCATCAATATAATCATTTTTAATCAGAAATGATAAAGTTTAAATAATATTTAAACCATCTAGATATATGAAATTCCCATAAAATATTTTAGAGATGATCCACCAGTGAAAAGAATCTTGTTATGGCTGTATTTTGTGCACTAAATTTTATAGATGTATCTAAGATTGAATTCACTGAGCCAAACCGATATTAAAGCCATATATAATAAGGTGAAGAAATAATAGGTAATAAAGATATAGCTCATTTAATGTCAACTATTTTAATTTAGCTTATAATAGATGAGAATTTTATAAATATATAATATTTTTATATAATTTAATAAATGATTCATTTCTCTAGGGTGGATTTATCTTTCAGTCACTGGATTAAGCTAGGACTATGAGCTAGAAAATTTTTAGGAAAGTATTACTGATAGTCAAAGTCTAACTAAAATAAATGACTGTATTTATCTGATATTATAAAAATCTAGCCAAGAAAAATTTCAAATCGAAGAATATTTGAACACATTTGCAAAGGACTTCTCTGCACTCAAGAAATATCTTTTTAATATTAATAATAAGATTTTACATTTACAAATGGTTCTAAACGAAGTCTTATATGGTAATTAAAATGAAATACAATACTATTTTGAATAAATTCAAAAATATAATTCTGAATATAAAATGACCTAAGTAAAAAGGTATTATCATATAGGGGATAGGAATATTATTAAAAAATAATCTCCTATCGATTTGTAAGTTGTTTTTAATAATTATATATATGTTAATAGGATCTTAATATATTTAACATATATATTCTATTCATAATTAGAGAAGTGTTGATTACTTATTAAGATTGAGTATAGCAGAATCAAATATAACTAAATGCTCAGAATATTCTTTTTAATCCATGGGCTAACGAGGTGATTGCTTGTAGACATCTGAAACGACCATACAATCCTCCAAATCCAAGATATTTTGATCTCAGTGAACTAAATACGTCACTAAAATATATTTTCTGAAATTGCGTATAATAAAACTGCCCCTTAAATTGGATTCGATTTATCAAGATTTGATAATGGTTGAAAATTTGAATTACAATAAAATTCTAAATAATTATTTAAATTATATAGATGAATTAATAAAAAATGAGGGAGGAGATGGAATGAAGCTAGCTATTTATTTTTTATTATTAGAATTTAGAGAGTCTGTCAAGAATTAATATTTTGTATTGAAAAAGACAACTCTTATGCAATTTTTTTAATAGATAATCATACTTATTCTAAATATTTTTACAAAAAAGGAGGTAATATGTTAATCAGGTATAGTTATAGATTTCAAAGTTGTTAAATTTTTG